ATGAGACGCTACCCAGCTCTCCACGATCATTTGCAAAGTTACAGAATTTACAAGAAAACCCCAAAATTAATTTTCCTTTTTCTTTCTATATCTCTGAGCTGACAATGAACATTTAGGGCTTCTCTTGTAAATTCTGTGACTTTGCAAAGAAAGATGGTGGAGAGCTGGGAAGCGTCTCATTTTGACGCAAAATTTTCAAGCTACAATCCCAACATGTTGATAAAACATTGCTAGGATTTCAAGGAATTTCTAGAAAACCGATTCTCCAGAGAAACGCTAGGAAATGTCTATGGGCATAAATGGTTATCATATTCGTAATCAGCGCCCTACATATAAACTGCCAGGTTTGAACAAAATCGGAGTGCCTCACTTGGGAATGTTCCGTCGTTAGCGAATTAGATTTTTCATTATCAACTAAAGTGCATTATATTTCATGGCTGTTTTCTTGTGCCGTTTTTTTTAGATTAAAGTATGTCTTGTTTATCATTAAAAACGTATCAAAAGTTTTCAAGTATCATTTATATCAGATCAACGATTAAAGTACGAATGAGATAACTTTTGCTATAACTCACTTATTCATTGTTTATGTTGTAGATATTTCAATGTAGCGTTTCTCAAAGCAGTGGCTCAACTGAAGATGTTCCAGTTCAGAAAGATGAAGCTGCATCTCCACGATCTTTTACTGTCGATCAAAAATCAGAATCAGCAACTAAAGCGCATATGATTAGCCATGCAATGAAAAATTATTTAACAAGAGCAAGAGAAAAACGTAAGACCCTTCTGATACATCTGTTCGAGAGTTTGAGTTTCACTAGTTTTCAATTGTGTATTTGTAGAAAACAATATTTGACAAGGGACTATGCCGAAGTGTATCTCTGGTATTTTCTGAAATATATATAACATAGTAGGTGCGCTGATTACAAATGTAATATTATCACCGATTGATGTTTGCTGAATTAAAACAATTTTAAGTTTTTACGGTCAAAACTCACTGTTTTCAATCGACTATTTTTTCTGATAGATCAATCAACTGTACAGTTTTACAGAGAATCTCTTCAGCTCTAATTTGGTATCTATTCAAGCTTTAGATTGTATTTTTCGTAAAAATTACAATGATTCTAATTTTTAAGTTGAAATTTCCCTCTTATACTTAACATTTTTGTAATTTTTACAGAAAATGCAACCTAAAGCTTGAATAGATACCAAATTAGAGCTGAAGAGATTCTCTGTAAAACTGTACAGTTGATTGATCCATCAGAAAAAATAGTCGATTGAAAACAGTGAGTTTTGACCGTAAAAACTTAAAATTGTTTTAATTCAGCAAACATCAATTGGTAATTGCTTAAAATATTACATTTGTGATCAGCGCACCTGACTTCACTATGCTACATATATTTCATCAAAATACTAGAAATAAACTTCGAGATGGTCCCTTCTGAGTTTATTTATCATTTTCAAAAAATACATGAACTATTATTATGCTACTTTTTTTTGTTTTTACGTATTCTTTTAGAAAAAATATTGGATGATAAAATTCATGAATATGAAATTGGACGTCGACATTTAGCTCGAATGATGGGAGAAGATCCCGAAGCATTTGATCAAAATAAAATTGATGTTTGTTACGACTATAACCGATAGTTTTTAGAACAGTTTTATTTACATGTTTTTGTTTTAGGATGCATTAAACTATTTAATGCCATCTGGCTTATTAGATGAACGTGCAAGACCGAAAATGCGAGTAAGATTTGATTGCTACTCATGAACTTCATAACTGACTACGTTTAAAAAATGTTCTCGTAACTTATAAAGACATTGCTGTGGTCATCTTCTAAAATGTTAATTAACTTATTTTCGGAATAGAAAATTATGTTAAATAGTACGCAGCTTTTAGTCAAGAGAATCACTTTTGCCTTCATGCAGCCTTTACTTGAATGATAATCTGTAGCTATTTTTTCTCTTTGTTTTTTTAGCCACCCGAAGAAATATATCCAAAAGAAAAGAGTTTGTTTGTTTATTGTTTTTACTGATTAACTTTATTTATTTTATGTGTGTTCAATAGCTGTTCAATTTGACGTTTCTGGTCGTCCATATCATTTTCTCTATTACACTGCAAAACCAAATTATTACGATATTCTACATGTGAGTAAGTTGAACAAATGAATTTGTTCTTCTATTTCAAACAATTGTTTTCTTTTTACCAATTTTGTGTTTAGAATGTTGCAATTAAATTAGAGCAATTGAAAAAACAAGAGCAACGCATGCAGTTACAAGGCATTGCGCCAGATTATAGTAAAAATGAGTATGTTTGAATGAAAAGTTGCTCCTGAATAGAATCATACTCAAAATTCTCTTATTTAGTGAATTTGGTTACACAAATTGGATTACTAAAGAGAAATTAGAAGAAATTTTATTAGAAAAATTAATGGCCGAAGATGTGCGTGTACTACAAAACAATAAAAATTTGGTAGATTCGTTTATTTTATTACGTTCTAGTATAAAATATTTCTACAATGTCTCAATCGTCTTATTAAACACCCATTAGCATTTAAAGAAAAAGAATTTATTAATGATTTTCGAACGAAAGTAGAAGATTCAGTTATTAGGCCAAATGTAGAGCCGGTAAGATTTGTAATATGTGTACATACCTTGAGTTTAGGGATGATCTAGACAAGTTCTTTGTTGAACTTTTGTCATTACCCTGTCATTTTATTAACATAATGGACTAAAATAAATTGAATTGGGTAGTTTGTACTAACGGGATGTGCATAAATTCTACAACAAATGTCAAACGCTGTTTCTCCATGTTCACAATAGTCTGGAGACTTGGCTTTTTTTGTTTGTTTTAAAAGAGCAAAGTCTGAGCTGCATAACGTGTATCAAAGAAATTCTTCTCATAAAATAACTACATTGAGGAGAAATATGAACAGAAAAGATTACTAAAAAAGATTCCAGTAACATTTTACTAAAGCATACGAAGAAAATTTTGTCCACTAGTGTCAAAAATAATCACTTCTTACTGAAGTCAAATACATGAAAAAATAGCCCATAAAAAACTGTTCATTTTGTTAAAGATTTTCAAGACACTTTTTAGTGACTTTTAGAAACACTTTGTAAAAGTCAATTTTCTGTAAATCGATAATTCACGTGCCATACTTAGAGCTTTCAGCAAATGGGGCACTACAAGTAGACACTAACTGAGACTAGATTTTATTTTTACATCAGTTTGTACAAAATTGACTGGAGATTTAAGATTCATTTCAAAATTCGAAAAACAGTTTATATATTCCTTTCAAAATTGATAATTAACCCTAACTGGTTGATTTTCTACCGGTGAAAAAAGAAACCTGTTAGAAGATAGAGGATCGATGTTTTATATTTTATCAGAACTTCTGTGTAGTGATGTTTCCTGTTTGAATTTTTTTCCCAATGAAATTGCTTTATGAGAGAAACATTTGTTGTGTAGCTCAGACTTTGCTCTTTTAAAACAAAAAAAGCCAAGTCTCCAGACTATCGGAACAGCGCTCGACATTTGTTGTAAAACCTATGCATATCCTGTTAGTACGAAAGTTTGTGCGCATCTATATTTTAGAAGAGTATGAGTATATATAATTTTTTAGTTACGTTATGATGTGAATGGTCGTCCATACCAAATTGCTACAGGTGAGTGTACACGTTTATTTTCTAAAAACGAGAGTGAAAAAGCAGTGGAATATACATTGGGTCAAATAAGTATTTGACAAAATTTTTACGAGATCATTGCTCTTCGAGCAAGAATAAGCTAAAATAATGCTTTTTTCTGCTGCATAGCCCGAAGTTTGGACCATATTTTTTGTACACTTGAACGTTTCAAAGACTGTTCAGTTTCCTGTATTAAAATTTACAGCTTTTTAAAACTCTATCATTTTTCATGACCACGTAAGTATTCCTACATCTGCTTTACTCTATGTATTCAGATAATTCTTGAACAAATCAAATCTTTTAAAATATACCACTCAAACAAGTGAAGTTTCAGCTAACTCGGCGAAAAACTGTTTCAAAAAAGGAGATCATTTTTAACATTTAAAATTAAAACATTTTTTTCTGAAAAGTTTAAAAAGAAAATTTATTTGATTTTAAAATATGATCAATCCCAAACTGATCATTAGAAAAAGTGTGAAAAACTACACCTTGAATTGGTTGGCTGTTCAGACCCACCGCCACCTGAAATACAAACTTTTTTATAAGAAGTCGATATTAACCTAAGCCCATCACCGGATATTACTGTGTATTATTAGGATTCATATTATTCGGCCAAAGTGATATAAAGATTTTTCAAAAAGCCTCGAAAAACTGACTTTTTCAAAAGTTGTGCTTCCGCGATAAAAAACCAAACTCAAAAATAGTTTCGATGATCCAGAATGTAGAGAAAACATTCCTGATCAAAATAAGACGTCTACCAGCTCTGGATGATGTTCTAATCAAACTTAAGGGAAGTTCGAAAAGGTTGTGTAATTGTCGTTATGTCATATGTGAAAGAGTAAATTTTTGAAACACTTCATAAAAACATCCTTTTTCTGATTGAAAATAGTACCAATAGGCTCAGACCAACCAGGCGATGAATTTGACGCATTTTTTCGAGTGTTCATTGAACACGAAAAGATAAAAATCTAAGTATAAAACGAGATGCGCTTTTTCATAGACATTCAAGTGTGGACTATCCGAATCCGATCTCAAAAGTTTGGAGTCTTATAAGAAGCTTTGGAAACCTCTGGGGGTTTCTAGAAACTCCTTAAGTTTATCAAAAAAGTTTTTAAGTTGCATAATTGAAAGAGCACAAAATTCTGAACAAAATGTAGCATTGCTCATAAGTTTAGCAATTACTTTAATAAGGTGAGAAAATAACAGATGTTCAAGCAAAATGGTTTACTATAAAACCCTAATTTTTACGTTGTCGAACTGATGGCTTAGAAAAACTGAAAAACTATCAGTGATGAACCTCATTTTGTTCAGAATTTTGTGCTCTTTCCAGTTATGTAACTTAAAAAAATTTTTTTGGTAAACTTAAGGAGTTTCTAGAAACTCCCAAAGGTTTTTCAGAGATCCTTATAAGACTCCAAAGTTTTGAGACAGGATTCGGATAGTCCACACTTGAATCTATGAAAATGCGCATCTCGTTTTATACTTAAGCCAGAAGCTCGATAACGGCGTCAAACAATATAAACTCCTAAGATCCTCAGAAGACCTTCGGTGTCAGGCTGAAGGTCCGAGGTAAAAACGATCTGATCGCATTATCGGATAAAGCGTGTAATGAACTACATAGGATGAAAAAATCCCTCTCCCATTACTTGTTTTGGCGGAGAAACAGAACCTTTATTTTTGCTCTCCATTTTTTAGACGCTGAATTTTCCATCAAGCGGACTCTAGAAAACCGTCTTGAGCTCAGAAAGTAAAAGTCCTAGCAGGCTCAAAATTTGTATTTATAGGTTTTCACACATGCTGAACAAGACAGGACCAGTTAGAAGCAGATCTGAGACATCGATTGAGCACGACTTGTTATTTCTCTCATGCAATGACTCTTAGACGTTAATCTGGGAGTGTTCATGGGTGTCCGCATTTTCTAGTAATATCTTATGAAATTTATTCAGTATGTTAAACTTATAGAAAAATGAAATTCTGCACAAGATGCGCTATTTTATCAACGCAAGAACAGTTGATCTTCATATGATTCTTCTCTCCCCAATTTGCTATAGCAAGAGAACACCATATTGGTTTTTTGCTGCTATACTCTCTAAAAAATAAAGGTATTATAAAATACATAACCATTTGAATCATATCATAACTGTTTAAACGTTTTTTACTTTTATCAGAAAACCCCTTTGGGATTTTTAGAATATGAAAAAGCCGTGATTTAAAAAATCCTGAATTGATTTGGTATTTTAAAATACCTGAAAGGTTTTTTTGTGACATGAAGAAACCTCAACCGTTTTTCAGAATATAATTTAGCCGTGTTTTAGAAAACGAAAATTAGTTTTTTGATAAGAATAAGAAACTTTTAAACAGTTATGATATGTTTCAAATGGTTATACCCTTTAAACGTTTTTCACGTGTGGTTATACCTTTTTTTTGGTTTTTCTCAAATGGAGAATACTTTTTAAGGTTTTTTGAAATACCTTTTTTTTTAGAGTGTACTTATTTAACACTATGTATCTAATTGAATATGAAGACTACGCTGGATCCCACACTGGAACTATCAAAAAACATTCCTTTTTCTAACAAAAGTTTTAGAAGCAAGCTTGATTGTTTGATATTAGAATGTACAGAGATTAAGTTGATGAAAAATGAAAAAGTTTTACGTGACTTTGTGAAGTGATTTTGTTGCAGATATTTCAAAAAAGAAAGCAGAAGATTTAGATGATATGTGAGAAGTACATGTAACTGGAGGTGTACTCATCAGCTGGTCGAAGTAAGTCCAAGTCTTCTTTTAAAGGAAAAAAACAAACAGATTATTGCTGGAACACTAAAAATTCGATCAGAATTTATACGAGGTCCACTGACCTGTTTGACCATTCCAGTGATTGAAAATTTGCTCTGCTCAAAGAAATATTCTCAAGGTGCCCGACGGCATAATACAAATGCTGTTTTTCAGCAAAACTCAAAATCGAATAAAACTTATACCAAAACAGAACGCAGAAAACATACCAAAAAAAACGACTGTTCACATGTTTGAATCTTTATTCGTACAAAACTGATTTTGTCTTCTTCGATAGTTTTAGTTCAGAATACTATAATGGAATATTTTTCCATTATATTATTATATTTATTATTTTCCATTCCAGTTTATACCAAATAGCCTTTGCACGTATAGTTAAAACGAAAATAAATGCGAAATGCATAGTTAAATGCAGACCTGTTTATTAGATTTGAGAAAGTTTAGGATTTAAAGGTGAAAACAAGTGTAATAGGATTTATTCTATAAATTATTTAAATAACGTATAAAATGACAGATGATCTCTCGCTCCGTCCAATATGTCAGGTGGAGTCCCTATTACCGAGAAAGGAAAGGGTGCTGTAGGCGTATAGTAGCTCTTATTGCGATATAGGTCTGCTTTTTATCACGTTCAAGATATAATATTAGATGATTTTTCGTATGTAAAATCCCTTAATATCCATTCATAGGCGCGAAGCGTCTCAGAGTCAGGGAACGATCAAAAAAAGCATTTCAATCTTCTCATTGTGATAAACATTTTTCCTCAAAAAATCACCAAAAATATTAAAAATGGTCAAAAGACGTAAGTCAGTTACCGTTGGCTGAGACAACTCTTTCACATGTTTCGATATCATCGTGAATGTCGAGTCTTTCTTCTGAACAAGTGCTATGAAAATATAGTCAACCGACTTTATTTCCTGCTGGCTGCAATAAAGCAAGGCTTACCGCTTTAAGTAAGGACCTTTAGCTGGCTATTAAATGAGCAGTTTCCCTCTTATTGTGTTTTAAAGGACGGGGGCTTATAAAGGTCAACATTTTCCCTTGATATTTCTGAACAAGAGTTACATATTCAGAATCAGCGTGAAATTGTGCGCCGAATGAGGTATATAGCACCTTGGAAAAACCATTTTCAATTT